TCATGGTATTTCCACATTTTGCAAGGCACAGGTCCCCATAATTATAAAAGTGACCACGTCTAGTAACATCAACTAGCTTCTTCTGCAATTCCTGTGATTACCAGGCTGTGTTCCTGGGAACTCTGGCATTCCTTAAGAGGCTTACCATATCCATAATCACAGACAAGCTTCTCACAGACAAGAGAGGCAGTTTGGTGTAGTGGTTAAGTGCGTGGATTCTAATCTTGGAGAATCATGTTTTATTCCCCACTCCTCCACCCACACCTAGCTGGATGACCTTGGGCAAGCCGTAGTTCTGATAAGAGCTGTTCTTGAAAAAAGAGCAGTTTCTGTCAGAGCTCTCTTAGCCCCACCTACCTCACAGGGCGTCAGTTGTGGGGAGGGGAAGGGAAAGGAGTTTGTAAGCCACTCTGAGACATCTTTGGGTAGTGAAGGGCGGGGTATAAATCTAATCTCTTCTTCTTCTTCATGCAATATGCAGCTAGAGGAGTGTTGCAGATGCTCTTAATTCATCCAGGGAAACATCCACCAATACCCCATGTGAACTGTTTGAGTACACTAGAGTTCATCTGCTGGTCAGTAGATGGTGAAAATGTTAAACAATTTCACACTTTGGTGGAGTTCATCATGAAATGTTGGACTTTAATATTAAAATTAATTCATTTAATTACAGGTTATAAAGTCCCCCAAGACCCAAAGGCAATTTTTATTGTGCTATTTGAAGGATTTGATTGAAGATACAGATCTTAAAATCGTGTTGAATTTATTACTTGGAAATACACACGTTTTCCCACAGTTTCAGAATGGTCGTATAAAGCATGGAATACAGCATATCTAACAAAATGGGCATATTACAAACAATATTTATGTGGTCCTGACCCTTTTACTGATGAGCATCTTCAACAGTGGATTTTTAAAATAACACTTTGGAGCAACAAGTAGGAAGATGGGATTAAACCATGTGCATTTAGTTTTAGTTTAGTGTTTTAGTGTGTATAGTGTTTAGTGTTCGTAGAAGGAAAATAATAAAAAATTTATTAAAAACAAACCATGTGCATTTTTTCAACCACTGTAGTGTAGTTTTCTTTTTTATAATATAAACTGGTATTTGATTCCTTACAGTTAAACAAAAAAGCTTATAAAAAAGACAGAAATGTACAGCCTACAAGATTCACCCCCCCACTCCACAGCAAGATAAAATTTGAAATGCAGCTAACGAGTTTGATTAAATTCTTTCAACGTCAAGCTCTAGTCTCAATGGCTATATTAAAAAATGTAGCCACATTTTCAGTAATATGTACAGTCTCCCCCGCAAGACTAAGAGTAATTAGCTGTTAACTGTACAGCCTCGTGCCATAGCTAAGAGTAGAGCAATTACATCACCTCTAGCTCCTCTATAATAAGTACAAAGCAATAGCACATGGGATATAGTCGCTATCACTCCTGCACTACAAGGAACACAGTTGATCAGTTAAAGAGTTATCCTTGCAATGGCACTCAAGGATTTCTGATGGAAAAACATTAGAACATCCTAATGCAAAAGCACTCCTATATTTTGGTACACTTGAGGTTTTTAAATAGCATGCACATTTTTCAAGTACTGGAAAGTTCAGATCCAAGGTTAAAGGTGAACAAGGTGTACGTGTCTGATAACTTGTATCACAAATCCTTTGCTTGACTAATTGTCTCGGTCAACTCCAGAATGTAAAACTGGTGATAGAAAATCCAGCACAATTAATTTCTTGGATTGCATTTGCTCACAAATGCATCTGTCAATACCAAAGAGGTACAACTTGAGGATGCATCTCTAAGGCAAATACCCAGAAGTTCATGGCTGCAATCCTTGCACTTGCTGTAAATGAACATAAGCCTACCTCGTGGCTCATAAGTGGCACTGTTACATGTTTAGGGAGTCCCAGAATAGCTCTGAATCCTTTCTACAAAGCCATATCAATACGCCATAAAGCAGATGAGGCACCAGTTTGGTCTCGTAAGAATGAACTGCAGCAGGAACGTAACATTCATATTTGACATAACAGAACTAAGCCACTATTTGAGCAGATTATTTGGCATTCACTTGTGCATGTTAGAGATGTGCAGTCCATTTACAAGAATTAAATTCAATGCCCACCCCAAATACCTATAGGACTGCACTTAGTCCAGCAGACATCCATCTGAAGGCAATCTATACTTAATGCTGCTATTTTCTTTTAGCCCCCTTGGGCACACGTGCTATTGCCTACAGTCAAGAAGGCCACGTTACAATAGACCTCTACAATAAGACAGATGACAAGCAGGCTCATATAAACATATATTGAACTGGGAGGCTATCAAGCAAACATGTATCAAACAGCTTTGCTTATGCTCATTTAGAATAACCACGATGAATAGTTGGATGAAAGAATCGTGCTATTCTACTTAATATGGAAAGAGCAAAAACACAATTAAATAATGTCTATATACATTATAATATATAATTATGTCCAGCATAAAGGTTTAAGGTAGCTAGTACCAGGGCTCTAGTCGGGGGGGAGCTCTCAGGTACGGAGCTCCGGAAGAGAACCTCTAGGGGGCGGGGCGGTCACGTGGTGAAGCCCCGCCCCTTCTTTACCCCGCCCTCTGCTTCGATCCTCATTCCGTTTGGGAATGAGGATGAAGCAGGAGGGTAAGTAGCCGGGCCTTCTGACACACTTCCGGTGATGTCAGGGGGTGTGGCCTTCTGTCACTTCCGGTGATGTCAGGGGGCGTGGCATATGCAAATAAGTTATGCTAATGAGTTATGCTAATGAGCTCCGGCAGCTCTTTTTCTACAACAAGACCCCTGGCTAGTACTCAATTCCCTTCTCTCAGCTCCTGCTCCCCCTCCTGTAGTCTATTCGGCCCAATCTCCCCCACACCTTACAAAAAACAACAACAACAACATGTTATTGTGGAACAGTCTCCCAGAGATGGACCACAAGGCAACAACTCCACATCCTGACTGCACTTGAACTGACTTTTCCTGTCAGGCTACCAAATGTGCTGGGTTTCTGAAGCCTACGGTTCTATTATGCCGTTTCATACTACACTTCAAGTGTTGCCTGGTCCTATGATCTTGTCTGTAACCTGCCTTGGCCTTAACAGGAAAGTTTAAATAAACAAAACAGACAAGCTTCAGGTTCTGCCTTTCCATGTACAATCCACAGCCATTTCCATGTACAATCCATATTAAAAACTACTTGTTTAAGCACATGTAGGCAAAGATGTTAAGTTCACATAATTAAGGGAAATAAAACAAGAGTCCCATAGCACCTTAAAGCCGAGCTAAATTAATTCCAGTATAATCCTTCATGAGTCAAATCCATGAAATTTTCATCCACTAGTCAGACACATCTGTAACAAAAGCCACAAACCAGAAAGGCAGAAGGGGCAGGGGGCAGATGCTATAAAAAGATATTGTTTGCACTTTTTAGTATAAATCTTATCTGCCGAATAGATGAAAATTTCAAGATGGAGTGAGGTTTGACTCACAAAAGCTTACAACAGAATGCATCTTGTTAGTCTTTAACAGGCCGCTAGACTCCTGTTTTATTTTGCCGCTACATACTAACATACCTGGAATCATCAATGTTTAAGAGCTCTGCAACATACAATCAGACACTCTTCGTGTACATGCAATAGTATTTGCTGTGCAAATAAATTTTGAACCTACTTCTAGCAGAAGTACTGCCGAATTACTGATTTCCAAGTGGCAGTATTCATCTGACACTGCTGCAGTCTCCAGGTTCAAGTGGGCATGAGACAGAACTAGCAGCAGCTTACTTGCCCCTCAAGATCTATGTGCCTTGGATGTGTTAAGACAAACAGAAAAAAGCACTCTGCACATTAAAAGCTGTGTCACTGGGGAGCAGATATGAACACATCCTAAGCAATGAGTGCACCCTGCAAGAAGCCAAGACAAACTTACAAGATGCTCAACGACTACAGTAGGATGCCTAAGAAAGAAGGGTCAACATTTTCAAGGCAATGCCAGGGCATGGATAGGAGAAGCTAACCGAACACCACTAACTGTTTAAAAGACCCAGCTATGAAGGCCCAAGAAGGATGCTCACCAGATCTCTAGCTATAACACAACAGGGCTGAGCTTAGAATGAGAAAATCAGCCTCTGGCTGGCTGCACAACGACAGTAGACCTCTTTACTGTGAAGCCAAACCAAGACATCATACGGCAACATGTCTCTGAGCAAAGCCTAAGCTAAACGCTGGATAACTGGTTGCAACAGCTCTGCTAGCAGTAATACCCAAGAACTACCCAGCACTATTAAGACTAGGTGGTCTCCAAGAGAGCGTGTTCAGGTGGGGCCTCCAGATGCATAACTGTCCGTCCCGCAGAATGCCTTTCGTTCACCACCTGCGAGGGTTCACTCCCCCCCCCCATTTCAAGGGATCAGCATCAGCTTCTCCTCTCCCTAAATCGCCGCCGCCGCTGCACCTCAGCCACCGCTTCCGAGGTTGCCCACATCTGACACCAACAACACCTCCCGCCTGCTCAGTCTCCTCGCCGCTCTGCTCCACGTTTCTTTCCTAGAAGCCCCCCACCCACGCTGAGAGGGACCCCAAGCCGCCCACGGAGCCTCCTCAGCCTCCCGCGGATGGAGCTCAGCTGGGCCCAGCGCGCCGGCGCTGCTCACCTGGTCCAGGTTCTCCTCGCTGCCGCTGTCTTCGGTGTCGGAGTCAATGAGGACACGGCCTTTCCGCTTCTTCACCATGGCGGAACCGGCCTCACCGCCGCCCGACCCCTCTACTTCTCACCGCGGGCCCCGCGTCGCGGCCTGTGCGGCACTCAAAGCGGCAGAGCCTTTGCCGAGCCAGCCGCCCGCCGGCCAGCCCGGGACACAAAGGGCACCGAGCATGCGCCGTACACCGCCCCGCCTGCTGGGGCAGGACCAAGGCAGTGACGGGACTAGGCGGGGCTAGCGAAGGAACGTTGAGAGGGGGGGGAGGAGTAAGGGAAGGCTGTTGCGTCAGTCGAGACGGGTTTCTCGTTTTAGAGGATGTTTTAGGGAGAAGGTCTTGTTTTCTCTGGAAAGGAACAAAATAACCTCTTGTTATCAACAAGAGCACAGTTCTTATTGTGAAAACATGAGCTGAGCCAGGTTCCAATTTAAATAGTCGTTGGAAGGCTTGGGCCGTCGAGACTTCTGGGTTTTGAAGCCCGTTCTACTTCAAAGGCAAACAAAAAATAATTTTAAAAAGTCTTAAGAGAACACAGACTTCCGCTCTGTCTCCTCTTCTTTTAAGGACAGCAAACGGCTGAAGAGCGGCAACCAAAGAAGGCGGACCAGCTTTCTGTTACAGAGGTGCTGAGTGACATAGGGTACGGTATGCAACTCGGACCCTTTGGCACGGAGTTCTTGTTTCCTTGATGGGCGGAGATGGAAGAGGGACGGACAAAATCGATGGAGGCTTCCGGAAGGCTTTCAGCGTGGGACTCGCACTTGTACGGTCTCTGGAAACATAGAAAGTAGGTGAGGCTGGCGTGTGGGAAATAGCTGACCTGGAGAACATGAAGGGACCATAGGGGATGAATTGGCGCTGGCATTTTCTATTCCTGGCCGCCAGCTTTACCAAATGAGCGTGCCTTGTGTTACCCCATAGAAGTTGGCCTGTTATCCTCGTTTTTCGCCATTAGCTTTCCCTAGTTGCAGGTCTGGTTAAGCATGATTCCCTTAGGATGATTTAGGATAATTCGTGTGAACCAGACTACCAGGATTCAGTGTTGGAAGCAGTTTTTAAAAAGCGGAGTTGCCTTGGAATATGTGACGGCTAGCAAATAAAGCTCATGAATAAACCTTCGTTGGTCTTCAAGGTGTCACTGGACTCTTATTTGTTCTAATGCTTCAAACGAGCATGGCTGATCATCTGGATCTATCTTCATGAGGTGTGAGAGTCCGGTAGGCTTGAGCTCTGGCCTGTCTTTTAGTAAAAAAAGAAACTAAACCATAGTTTTTAGCTAATTGGTTGAAAACGTGATAATACACGGCTGACCATCTGGATCTATCTTCATGAGGTGCGAGAGTTCGGTAGGCTTGAGCTCTGGCCTGTCTTTTTGTAAAAAAAGGAACTAAACCACAGTTTTTAGCTAATAGGTTGAAAACGTGATAATGTCATTGGCTCTGAGTTACTGACATGGAAAAAAAGGGCCTGACCTGCATCTTCTATGTAGTGATCCACTTGATGTGATTATTTTATTAGGAGTCATTGATGGATGGAAAAATTGTGCTAAAATACTGAATTAACCCATATTAAAGCTTTTTCCCTGTGCTCTCATATTGCAATTGTTCAATATTTTGTCTGTTGAGGGAACTTAACAAAGGAGATAGCATTCGTATTGTCATGGTTCTGCATGAGTGTATGTGTGATCTTTCTCTTCAGATATTAATGGTGTATCTCCTTCAGACTATATGACTGATTTCTCTTCATAGTGATGCTTTGACAGACCTCTGACTCTCCCCCAAAAATATTTTTAGTTCCCCTCTGTGACTGAGCTGCCCTTCAGTAGAGTGTATTTCTTCTTATTTTATAAACTTTAACTGTCCCACCCTGTCACAGATATTAGTTTAGGCTTCTGACCCAGCACAGGAACTTAAGGAAAAATACAGGAACTGTCTTGTTTTAAAGTACCCTCATGAAATGGCATGTGAGGCAAAATTAACTTTTAAAACAGAATAAAGGTTTTATTGAACAGGCAGGGAATGTATATGATATGAGATTGTCAAAGTTTAGAAAATCATACTACGTATAGATTTGAATGTTTAGAACATAGAAGAGAGTGTTGTTGTAGCTTACTTTTAGAATTTCAAGATCTTTTCATTGAGATGTGCTTTGCTTAATATATTTCAGCACAAGTTCTTAATACTGTTTTCTGGAGAATAGCATTTGGTTATAGTTTCTAGATTTCTCCCTTCAGAGTTCTAGGTTTTCCCTTTAGATATTACAACTTTTCACTAACTCCTGAAGTATATAAGCTTCTCCCCTTTATTATAGACCAGGGTTCTCTTCCCAATGCCTTTCATTGGTGTGAAATTATTCTCCTTGTACCTAAGAAGCAATAACTTCTTTTACTATTTGGCTTGTATGGGAATTCTCTCTAACTACCCAGACCTTCTCCAATATCCATTGTCTGTATAAAGCGGTTCTGTAGCTTTCTTGACTGAGAATCTAAGTTCTCCCTGTCTAGAAATATTGATTTCTAAAAGCCTCCTGCCTTCTCTTGTTATGATAACATGCTGTATCTTATTTCCTGTCCAAGCCAAATGGCTGACCATTTGGCCAGGGAAACTTTATAACCATGCCATATAACTACACATTCTTTTACACCTCTAAGTGTAAGAGGCTGACCTGATGGCTCTTGTCTCTGCCTCACATGCAAGAAGTCACGTAGCCGATGAAGTAGCTGGAGTTTGGGGTCACCTGACTGCAGGAGGTGCCTCCAAACTCCTAGCCATTCCTGTGTTGCAGCTATGGCAACCAACAATGGGCACACCCCATTCCCACTCACAATTGGCTCCTGGCCAGGGCTAATTTGTGACTGGAATTGGCCTATAACTGGTCATTCCCTATGGGAGAGACTCTGTCTCTGTTCTGTTCCTGCTCTCTGCTTGTTTATTGCACCTGGAAATGCTGTCCTTTGAAGAGACAAAGGACTGGCTTTGTGAATTGGACCACATGGTTGAGCATGTTGTTTAACGTACTGCAAAAGTACAGGATTCCCTCCCATTCCTGGATAGGCGTGGGGGGTTATCCTATACACTCCCTCAGAGTAGTTCTGATATATTTAAGACAATGGGGTCTCTCTTCTCTCTGTAGAAGTACTTTTCTGACTATTGCCTGTCAGAAAACAGACTCCCAAATGTCTCTTCCCTCAGAAGCCAAACCCTCTGGCTACTGATCCAAATGTTAGATCTTAGACAAAGACCAAAAGGCAAATGAAACTTTTCCTTCAGATCAGCTGTTTTACTTCCTCTCTAAGCTGATGGTAACCAATCAGAGAGCAAGTAGAGCAGCTACTCACATAAGCTCTTCTTTCCAGGAAAAATTAACTCATAACCTCCCTGATTCTTTGTCCCAAGCAGCATTTTAAAAACCTGCTTTGTCTTGTAATTCCATCACAGATGCATATTCTAAATCATGAAAGAAGCAGAATTGAACATGTTACCATTTGTGACCCCCATTCTTTTTTTAAAAAAACAAAATCTGCTACTTGTTGATTTACTGAAGCATTTTACGAGCAGGGTTTTTCTTATGCTATAATATGAACAACATTACTTAGGTAAACCCAATAGGTGCATGTATACATTTCAGGTGGTTTGAGGAAATGAATTAAAGGAATCAGTAATTTTTCAGTTTTTTTGTGTAATTTCTTATTGTTACAGATGAAAGCGAGCGACTTCAACTGGAAAGAGACATCTGTTATTTTACTTTGATAAAAAGAACTTGTTTGTCAAAGCAAGTTCTAATCTTTTGTGGTTGTCATGGCTTTACCTCTCAAGGTGCTTAATCAGCATCATTGGCAAAATGGCTTGTATCCATTGTTTAGACCTCTTGTTGGTGGTTGCAACCGAAGTCAGTATAGCAGCTATAGAAGACCTGGAACTCCGCCTGACAAGATCCCACCATGGGCAAAGATTAACTTTAGCTTTCAAAAGGGAATAGAAGGGATCAAGACCCACTTTGGACGCTTAGCAAAAGAAGCACGTGATCATCTGAGAGGGCCCGAGGGGCATCCGTTAAAGGAATATCTGCTGGAACAAACAAGAGTGACTTGGCAGTTTCGCAGTGAAGACGATTTGAATAAATGGGTAATCTCCTCCGATGCTGAAATTGGAGGGAAAAGCGAAGTGTACCTAAAACTAGGTAAGAATAACCAGTCTGCTGTGTTGTATGGAACTCTCAATACTCAAGTACCTCGGGATGGAGAGACAAGATACAGTGGATATTGTTCCATGAGATCAAAGCCACGACTTGTGAGTACAACATATTATTATATTTACTGGGGAATGGTCTATGTTAAGTAAAACAGGTCTTTAGTGGGGTTTTGCAAGGAGGGGAAAATGGGCCGATACTTCAAAAATAGCTTGTTGGTCTTTCTCTTGCTCACTTGCTCTAACACAGACAAAATACCTGGAGATGAAAACTTATCACCCAAAACTATATATTATCAGGAAAGGATTATTTTTTTATTTATGAAATTTAAGAAAGTTTTAATTCAAGAACAAAATTGATCTGTGTAAATCAGGGGTCATTTAATAGAAAAAGAGGGGCAGGAGCTCATTAGCACAACTCATTAGCATAACTTATTTGCATATGCCACACCCCCGACATCACCGGAAGTGTGTCAGAAGGCAACACCCACCGCACAGGCTCCACTGGACTACTTTGGATTGCTAGCTATTGGGGGGGGGGAACGTGCAGATCTGTCCTTGCAGAGTAGGGAGAGCTTGTACCTGAATAAAACTTGGTCTTAAAGGTGCCACTGGACTGTCTTGGACCGGGGGGCGGGGGAGCTCTGCAACTTACTTGGCAGCTTCTTGCTCTGACTGAGGGCTGCTGGGAGCAGGGGGTGGGGCTTGTTGCATGTGCCCGCTCCCTGGGCTTTTTACTGCCGGGTCTCCGCTCTTGTGCGCTTCTGCAGGAAATGACCCATGGTGTAAATAAAATATTATATTTCTGTCATATTCTTGTCCTTTATAAGTACTAGAATTCATTTATGTTCTATGGAGCCCATAGAAACATTTAATTTTGTTGTTTCCTGATAATAACTGTTTGACTTTCAAATGTTTTGAATTTAGAAACATTGGCAACTAAGTTCATTTGCACTATTACTAACACAATACCTTTCTAAAACTAGAAAGTTCAAGCAAATTATTTTACCATAGACCTTTATGCTGCTTGTTTGGCATTGGAAATGACATTGATTTTAGGAGATTTCTGTGCATAAGTGGTTTTTTTACACACACACACACACACACACAGTTAATTTATAAATTAGGCTTGAGTATTGATCTTCATCAGGAGACATAAATCACAGTTCCCCCCTACTGTTACGGGAATGAAATAACCCAAAACACTATTTTAAGGGTATGTTGCTCTATAATATGAAAGGTCTTGTTGATGGCCTGGTGACATCTTGTAAAGTGGTGATGATAGAATTGCTCCGCGGTATCCTCTTCCTCTGTTCTTGAAGTGGGCCTTTCTGCTTTGGGGATTGGGGGAAATGAAATAGGAAGGGAGACAGCTTGCATATTGTGGTGGAAAAACTTGCTCTGTTTATGACAGAATCAGTTATTTGTATTGGTATGTATCCAAGTATATATATCTAAAGGATACTTAAGTCTTCAGACAGGGAGTAGTGATTTCCATTGATTCCCCTTTTCCACTCTGCCCCCATATTGTTACTGAGGTCCCATTTTGTGGGACTCACTGGCCTGCAGCTAGGGCCGGCGCTTTCATAAGGCGAGGTAAGGCAGTTGCCTATGGGCGCGAATGTTAGAATGGCGCCGCACAGCCTGTCACCCCACCCCCTTCCCCCCCCTCGTCAGAAGCCCTGCTCCACTCGCTCCGTTGGCCCTTGGCCTAATGCCACGCCGAGGCCGTTGATGCATGCAATGCCATTGGTGCCCTTTCCTCACTTGGCACTGGGAGGCGGGAGAGGCGGCCAGCCACGTCCAGTGAGCATGGGAGGCGGGAGGTGTGCGTGCACAAGGGGGCGCAGTGCGCGGGTCTGGCAGGGGCCACCTAGTCAAGTGCCAGCCAGGGGCTTCCTCCTTCCTTGTGGTCTCCTTCCTGGGAGGCTGGGCGGCCGGGCTTCATTGTGCGCATGGGGGCGCCATGAGTGGAGCAAGGCCGGGCCTTTGCCTCCTTCACTCCCTCTGTTCTCAGTCTCTCCTCCCTCCCCTGCTGGCCGGGCAGAGCTGAGCGCTGCAGCTCTCATGGTCTCCCCTCAGTGCCAGCTGAGCCAGTCCGCTGCCCCCACCTCCCGCTCCGCCACAGCATGTCGGGCCGGTTGGTGCGGGCCGAGACCCACAGCTGTGCCAAGGATGATATCAAGCTCCCCTCTCACCCTTCCTAGGTTCTCCTTGCCCCTGGTTGGCTCCTCCCCCAGCAACAGGGTCCCCTCAGCAATGTGTTGAAGCATGTCCTCTCTCCTGGTAGTTTATCTCTTCTATGCCCCCCCCTATATTCTTGGTGCTGGGGCGGCAACAGTGGGAGAGCTTCCAGTGGCCTGGCCGTGCTGGTAGACCTCCTGATGGCACCTGATATCTTTGGCCACTGTGTGACAGAGTGTTGGACTGGATGCGCCATTGGCCTGATCCAACACTGGCTTCTTTTATGTTCACACACACCTAAGCAGCAAAGGTTGGAAGGAAGTCAAGTGGGTTCCCTTCCTTGCTTTCCAGCAGGACTCCCCCCAAATCCAGCACATGATTTGCAGCTGCCTTTCTGAGAGTAAAAGGGGAGCTTTTTGTGCTCTTATCTACATTAGCTGTTTTTAAAGATAGTATACTGCCTTTTTCTTTCACAAGGATAGAAGCAGATACTGGATCCTAGAACCACTGACCTTGTCCCTTTGTAGTGTTAACCCCCCCATGCTTAAAAACTAGTATTACATTTGGAACCTTTATTCAGACCATTCACTCAGTTATGTACTAAATAAAGAATGGGGATCAAGGAACCAATTTCAGCTTCATTGTTGAATCTTCCAGTGATAACAAACAGCCCATGATTGGGATCACTGGATATAAATTAGTTGCCCTTAGTGCAAGACATTTGTAAACCACTCCCTTGCTAATTCTGCTTCCAGCTAGCTTTCACCTTCAGAAATAAAGGCTCTCAGAATAATCTAAC